CCGGGGTGTGCTGTATTGGAACTCGCAGCAGTGAGATGCAGGGCCTGCCTTGCCTTTGCGCTCACGCCCATTCACTGCACGCATTTCTAGCTTGGTTGCTATTTATAACGACTGGCACCGCCCCTGGATCGTCTGGTATCGTCTTGGCCACTATCCCAGGTCACTGATGGAGGGTGGACACGATAACCCAGGGACCCAAGCGTAGCAGTCAGCCTGATGCAAGTGGCACGACTTGCCACCCACAGCTGTGAGTTTTACCTGTCACTGAGCCAAGGCTGCAGGAGTCGGGTGTGCTGAGCTGGATCTCCAGGAACTCAAGGTTAACAAGGTGTCCTGCAGAACCTCCCCCAGGCTTTGGCATATGCAAAGCTTAAAAGTACAGCACTATCAGAGGCTACGAACCAGGAAAAGTTTCCCTAACACCATCCCCATGGATATAGAAGAGTGAGGCCTGTGGCAAAGGCTTTTCTTTACTTCATGCAGGAAGCAGTCTGCTTAAATAATGCTTTCTTTCTTTCTTTTTTTTTTTTTTTGGTGGAACTGGGGATTGAACTCAGGCCCATTCACTTGCCAGGGAAGCATTTATTCTACTGAGCCATCTCCCAGCCCAATAATGCTTTCTTAATAGGATTTTTTGTTTATTTATTTATTTGGCAGGATCTCGCTATGTAGTCCAGGATGCCCTTGAACTTGCGGTGATCCTCCTGCCTCAGCTTCCTGAGTGCTGGGATTACATGGGTGCGCTACCATGCCTGGCCTCAGGATAAAATAATTTTAGATTTCATGTGGGATATAAGACATGCAAGAATTGCTAGGAAAAGTTTTAATAAGGTAAACCTAAGCGGGTATTTGTCCAGCCACTATGAGGACTCTGAAATTACAACAGTCTGGCTGGCATTTGTTTAGAGAAAAAGAAAAGCATTGATCAATGGGGATTGAATAGAATTCTCAGAGAATAATGTAAATGTACTTGGACATGTAACATCGGCACCTTTGCTCAGTGGCAAATGTTTCATTTAGTAAACTGTCTTCACACATTTACTTCTCTATGTAAAGACAGATTGGTCTCAGACCTTACATTATATAAAATATAAATCTTAAATGAGTCTGAGATCAAGGCACCATTGTCCATTTCCTGATGAGGGCTTCCTGCTGTGTCTTTGATGGGGTGAAGCACTGCTCTCTCCCTGTTAAGACACCCCTCCTTTGTTTCATTGAGACATGGTCTCACCATGGAGCTGAGGCTGGCGGCCTCAAACTTGCAGCAGTCCTCCTGCCCGTGTCTCTCGAAGGCTGTGCACCACCACACCTGACTTGGCGAGTGCTTTGCTAATGAAATCAGTCCATTCCGGGGGGCAGAACTGTCCTGCTCTGAACACCTCCCCAAAGAGAGATTAAACTTCCAGAATGCAGATTTTGGACGTGTTCAGACTGTGGCAACAATTAAGACATATCATCTTGTAGATTATAACCAAAGGGCTTTCCTCCCCCAGATATTAGGCTCTTGCAAATCTTTACAATCTATGATCCATGAACATTGTTAGCCATATAGAGATGGTTATCCTCAAAAAAGGAGATAAATCAGTTATGTTTTGAAAATCACCCCATTTTGTTCTCCAAAGACTGAGCCTTCTCCTGATACTCTTACTGCCTTCTTGGCGGCGCTATGCTGTTGGTTGCAACTGGACAGCTTTGCTATGGTTCCCCCGGATCCTGAGTCCACACTCCACTTTCAAGGTGGCCAGGTCTGTGTCTGTGGCAGTGGTGGGGGCTGTGCAGGTAGCTCTTCTTTGCCTACCTAGGAGATTCCCTGGCTGTCCCACACTCACCTTTAACTTACCATGTTTCTTTGTCCCAACCTGCTGAGGGTGGGCAAAGTGTAGTAAACGGCTCACAGCCTTGATCTCAGAAAGTAGGTGCTCTCAGCTCTGGGTTAGTGACTTGCCTCTCTGCTCTCCCAGCAGCAAGTGGTACCTACAGGATAAGGAATGCTTGGTGCCCAGCAGTGGTGGCCCCCAGCAACTCTCTGGTATTCTCCTTCATTCTGTGGCTGCTTGCCACTGCTACTATTATCAGCTCTAGAATCAAGCAGCTTTTGGTGCCAGTGACCTTTGATGTTACCAGGTCTTAGTATTCAGCTCAGCTTGTTCTACCCAAATGGAATTGTGAATAAGCAAAAACAAAACAAAACAAAACAAAAACAAAAACAAACAAAAAATAAAGCCTCAAGTGCTGTCCCAGAGAGGCTTTATTAGGACTTACGACAGCAGAAGGGGGAACGGTGCACAGATTGACTTGCCAAGGGTGTGTGGGAAGTATGTAGGACAAGAGAATGTTGCCCGCAGATGCGCAGCACCTAACTTCCTGTACAGCCTTGGGGTGGTGGAGGGACTCCTCACAGACCACTGTAGGGGCGTCACAGAGGGGCAGAGTTGCTAGAGAGGCCACGGGTGGGATCAGCAGGGTGGACCCCACAGCAGAGCTTGCTGCTGCCATAGCCAAAGCCTCCGAACTGGCTCAGAGCATCTGACATAGCTGGCTGGCGCTCTGAGGTTTTGGGGCAGCCACAGAAGAAAGAGAAGAAGAAAAGGCACCTCTTGAGCAGCATTGGGGCCTCTCTCCAGTCTTACTTTAAAACAGATGCTAACTGACTCAATTCTTCCAGCGCCGCATGACTTTGAAGCCTAGAAACCTTACTTTTGCTCTAAATCCTCACCTTCTTCCATTCCTGCAAGTAACTGTTGGCTCACACAGTTAGTGCCCCCATCTCCCACTGATCCCCCCTTTCCGGGTTCTGCTCCGTCCCTTGCTCTTTCCTGCTTGCTGCCGCAGTGCTACCCAGGGTTGCTGCGTCTGGAGGAATCTGGCACAAGGTGCTGGGTGACGTTTCCCGATGGGTAATACTGAACAAGTTAGAGGGAAATAAGTGTTCATAGTAGCAGCTGCTCTGGGCAGGCCCTTAGCCGGCCTTTGGGTTTCTAAACTTGTCCTAATTCCTGGTGACGCCAAGACAGAGACATCACTGTGGCAGTCCTACAGAATGTGTGTTTATATTTCGTATATTTTGTACAAAGTAGAAATTATGTATTGAAGTTATTTTTATGTTTTGAAAAAGTCTCAAAATATTTAAAATTATTTGTTAGAACTAAAAACAAATACAAACATAAATACTGTCTCAATTTTAAGTAGAAATTTAAATAAGATCATTTAACTCTTTAAAATGTTAAAGCAGCCTTAAATTTCATCAAATTAAGTTATTCAGTGGTTTGTGTAAATAAAACTGCATGTCTGATGTTCAAAGTTTATCTTGTTGCTGAAGAATCAGTATCATATATTACGTTAGTAACTGTGTCCAAATTTAGGAATAAGAATGAGCTGATTAATATTACAAAGTGTTGCACTTGGGGAGGAGAAATGTTTTGCTGTTGGTGGCTTTTAGGAATACAGTCTTAGTCTCTTTTTTTTTTTTGTTCTTCGAATGCCTTCAGGGCACTTTTGGCCAGCGGGAGAGGTGTGAGGTTCGAACTCCAGCACCCTGAGGCTGACAGCCTTGTGGAAGCAGCCACTTAAAGGCCTGAGCTAGGGCCAGGCCCCCTCTTAGTCTCTTTTAAACTGGAACATGCAAGTGGTGGGTGGGAGGGTAGCTCAGTGGTGTAAGCACCTGCTTGACAAGCACAGGGCTCCAAGTTTGATCCCCAGTACTGAAAAAAAAAAAAAAAAAAAATGAAACAAAAAAACCAAACCAAAACTACAATAGGCCTATATTTCCTCCTGACATTGTCTGTTTTTTTTTTTTTTTTTGTAGAACTGGGGATTAAACTCAGGCCGTTATACTTGCCAGGGAAGCACTTATTCTACTGAGCCATCTCCCTGACCCCTTGACAATTCCTGTTTAAAAGAACCAGCTGAATTTTACAAGACAACCTATATCCTCAATTTGTTGGATAGTTTAACTTGTCCTCTGTCCTCAACAAATTTATATTCATGACATTTGGCCTACAGGCATGGCTAGCTTTAAAGGGGGGCTGCGGGGATGGTGCCCTGCGGCTGCATAGTATCTCATCAGAAAGAAGAGTGTCAAGCTTGGGCACCTGGCTGCAATGGTGCTGTCAGACCTGTCCATTGTACAACAAGCAACACGTCCCAAGAAGACTACCATCTAATATCCTTTGTGAATCTGCAGTTTGTGCAACAGTCCTCGGTGAAATCCTGGCCAACTCAGTGTAGCAATATGGAAAGGATTCTATAGTGTGTTGAAGTGAGATTTTTCTCAAAAGGCAGTGTTGATCCAATACACAAAAAATCAGTGGAATACTGTGTTCCATAGTAATAGGATAAAAGACAAAAAGCCATGATAGGAGACAAAGTTCTGGTAGATGCTAAAACATGAATGAAACCTTGATAACCATGCTAAATGAAAGAGACTGAACTCACCAAAAGACCGCATATTGTGTGATGCTCTTCATATGAAATGCCAAGAGCAATCAATCCTATAAGAATGGTACTGTGGGGTTTTTAGAGGCTGGGAGAAGTTGGGAGTGGAACATGACTGACAGTGGGGACAGGGTTTCTTTTTAGTGCAGTGGAAATATTCTGGAAACCTTACTGCAAAATCTTGCCACTATGCTAAAACTGCTAAATTATATCGTTCAAAATGCTGAATTCTGTTATATGCGAATTATATCTTAGTGAAAGTGAATGTGTGCAAGAGACCGAATTCTACAGGACCCAGAAGAGTAAGTAGATGCTCAAGTAGATGTGGGCTGACGGGTGACAAGAACTGCTGGAAATCTTTCCTGCCCACAGTGAGGCCCTCATTTGCTGACTGATAGGACAGCGGTGTGTGCCCATAGCTTGCCCCACGTAATCTCTAAGACGTGGGCACCAGGAGTTGCTGTCAGTAAAGACTAAGCTCTTCAAGTTGGTAGGGGGCTACATTCTTTCCAACTCTCCAATTTGCAACTGTCCCTCCTAAGCCTTGTTTTCATTTTGCTTTTCAGCATCAGCATGACAACCTGTTCCACGGTGGCTGCCCTGGGAATGATGCCCCTCTGCCTTTATCTCTACACCTGGTCCTGGGATCTGACCCACAGTCTCACCATTCCGTATCAGAACATAGGTCTGTATTGGGCTTGCGAGCTGCAGCAATAGCAGCAACGGTGAGAGTACCAGCGCTAACTGTTCTTCATCATATAGCTCGACAGGCAGAATTTTGTATGGTCTAATTTAATCCCTAAATGACATCATAGAATAAATATCACTACTGGTTCCATTTACTGGTTTTAGGGGCTTAGAATGGTTAGGTAACTTACCCAAGATTGTGCAGGAGGTAGATACAGACCTGGAATTGTAGCTCAGGAATCTGACTGCAGTGTGTAAGCTCTTAACTGCTATCTGTACATCAGCCTTTGGTTACAATATTGAGGGACCTGCCGTGTGCTGGCATGATGAAGAAAAGAGGCTCCTGGAGCTCACATTTATGGAGGCTAAAAGTCCAAGCACCGTGACACAGGGTCTTGTGTAGTCCCCTGTGTCCCCTCTCTCTGTGTCATCCCATCGTGGGCAGTGCTGATGGAAGCGTGTGCATGTGAAAGCAATCACTTCCTGCATAGGAAGCCAGAAAGCCAGGAGGGGCCAGGTTCTAGCTTTCATGACAGCGCTCTCACAAGTGCCACCAAGGGCTATGCAGGGCCTGCAGGTGACCCGAAGACCTCCCTGGAGACCCCCACCTCTTAGGCTCCAGCTTCCAATACGGTCACTGCGGACCGAGCTCCTGACACAGGAACAGGGAAATGGGAGGAACAGGCAAACTACCTCATCTATGAAAGCTTAATTCTGAGCAGAACAAAAGCTGGAGATTCTGCTTTTAAAAAAGAAATAAAGAAAAAAAAAACCTACAGCCCTTTGATAATTAGAAATAATTGGGCTTTTTTCATCTTTCTTTTTTTTCTTCCTGTTTTTTTGTTTTGTTTTGTTTTATTTTTGTTTTGGACAGGGCTGGCCTTGAACTTGTTATATTGCCCAAACTGGCCTCCAACTTTGTTGCCCTGCTTCAGCCTCCCATGCGCTGGGACTTCAGGGGTGTGTCACTGTGCCCTGCACAAGGGGCTGTTGGTGGGCCAAAGTTAATTGGATCTAGTTACTCCACTTCTACTTTCGCACAACTTCACCCTTCTCATGGCCCGTGAGCCTGGACCTTTTCTTATGGACTAGAGGCAACTGATTCTCACTGGTCATTAAGGCCCGTCTGCCCTCCACGACAACCTGTCTCTCCTTAGCTCGTCCCTAGCATGTGCTTCTATGAGGCGCTTGGACTTCTATATCTTTCTCCAAGGATCCCTGTGCTTGCTATGCTTGGGAAGGAGTGTGGTGAAATGATCAGCTGCTTTATCTCGGCCAGTCTTTGCAGAAGAGCTAGAAAGCAACATTCTGAAACCCTATAAATGGCCCAGCAGAGGCTGGCGGGCATCCTGAGGGTTCAGACCTGTGAGGTCTGTGAGGGTTCATTCCCGTCGTGGAAACCATGGTCAGAGGTGTCTCCTGAAAGCAGCGGAGTTCACCGTGTTGGTTAACAGCTGAGCGAGAGCCTTATTTAGAAACCACAGGTGCATAGAAAAGTGAAACTTTTTCTGATCAGTCAGTTATTTAGTAGTTGATAATATGTTTCTAGAACCATTCATGAACAACTAAAATCCAAAGTGCCCATTCACATAACTTTTGAGGCAGAAGGGCAGGGCTTGGGCAGACATGGGGCGTGCTTCTGGAAGACGTCAGCATGAGACTTGCTGGCCAAAGTGGCAGGGTCCTTTTCAGGCTGCCTTCAAAGCCTTTATTCTTCTGTGCTAATACAAAGGCCTTGTTCCTACCCATGTTAGGATGCCCTGGCTACACTTGGACGGCAGGAGAAATTGTGTCTGTGACAGGCATTCTGGGCTTTGTGGAGTAGCTAGGGAAATAACAGCTGTGGTTATATAGGGGTGACACCCAAGGAATTTCATGGACTTAAAATGGTCCTCTGTTTTTGGATCTTTACATTCCCTGTTGTCTCCAAAATTCCGTGTGATTGTCAGAGGGGTTCTGTGAGGGAGACACGCCTGGATGTGGCAGCATTCATTACTGTGGTAGGCCCTTTGAGATTGTTTTCAAAGGTTGCTTTGTGTTTGGAGATGGATACAGAACAAAATGAACTTTCATCAAAAGACCGTCCAATTAAAGACAGTCAAACTGAAGTAGGCTTATCGGGAAGAGGGACAAGGTCTGACAGGTGACTTTTCCTTCCTTTTAGGGATTACTCTGCTATGTCTGACCATCCCAGTGGCCTTTGGCATCTATGTGAATTACAAGTGGCCAAAACAATCGAAAATCATCCTGAAGGTAAGAACCCCAGTCACAGCCCGTCTTCATACCCAAAGACCCAAAATATGAAAGTGGAGGGCTTGAGCCCTGCAGCTGCAGTCCCCTTGTGTGCCCAAGGGCTTGGGATCCATGTCTCAGGCTCCCTGTGCCTCTCTAAGGTTTGTTGTGCTCTCAGAGGGCTCTGGAAAATGTGGGACTTGAGTTAGTGACAGAAGTGCTAGGGCCTGGTGTGGGCAAGGAGCATGGGGTCTGTGCATTCTCAAGGCTCTTTGGTGCTTTATTTTGTTTTGTTTTTGAGGTAGGGCCTTGCTGTGCAGCCCCCGCAGGTGGTGAGCTCTCAGCTGTCCCCCCACCTCAGGCTCCCCCCACCTCCCAGTGTTTACAGGTGTCACCACCTGGCTGGGCCCTGAGGGGAGGCTTTCTTAACAGTGAACTTGAGCTCTAGAGTGTTGTCCACTTTTCCGGCTGCATATCACTTCACAAGACAGAAGAACATAATGTCTGCTGCTTTCCTGAGGCTTTAAAGAAATCTTATATTTTTACATTTAAAGGAAGAAGTCCCCTTGGGTGACCTGGAGGCTTTCCAAGGAGGTGTCCGGGGTCTGGTGTGGTTAGTTTAAGATCTTGCTGTCTCACAGGACAGGGAAGCCGCTTTGCCACTCTCCTGGGAGGTTCAGCAAGCCCAGAACCAGTTAGAGGGCAGGGTACAAGGGGACAGGAGAGGACCAGCAGAGACAGTGCTGGGCTGGGGTCAGACCCTGGCCGCGCACAGGTGGCTTTCATGCTGATTGCTTGATTTCACCCTCTTCCGGCTTTGAAATAAAGCCCCCTCCTTTGAGCATTTATTTATTGTTTATTTTTTATTCTCAGATGTTTTGTTTTTTATTTTATTTTTAAAATTTTATTGAGAAACAAATAGCAATGACAATGAGAGAGTTCCAAAACCAATGAGTAAGGTTCAGAAGGATTTTTTCTTTCTTTTTTTTGGCTGCCTCAGGATGAGTGTTTGTTATTGTGACGTCGGTAGATTTCCAATGGGCAGTGTTTGGTTGTGATTTTATTTATAAAAGAGATGGGAGGAAGACTGGAAATGTCCTACATTTTAAGTTCTCTATTTTTGCTTACTTTTTTCAGCTTCAATTCCTTTTATAGGTATATGTTTGCAAGACATGGAGTTTACATTCATTGTGGGCAGTGGGTCCTTGCACATGACCGAGCTTCATTCTTTTTTTTTTGGTGGAACCGGGGATTGAACTCAGGCCCCTGCGCTTGCCAGGGAAGCGCTTATTCCACTGAGCCATCTCCCTGGCCCTTAGCTTCATTCTTTTTATGTCCTTTCCTTTTCATCCTCTCCCATCTCTTGTCTGCCTCACCTTTTGCAAAAAAATTGATCTCCCTGTTTTCTATATATAGTCTGTCTTTTATTTTGCTTTTTAATGTATTTATTTTAGGTTTCTCATACAAAGGAAACAGTGCAATGTTTAAGTTATATGTCTGATTTATTTCATTTAACACCATGATCTCAAAGGGGCATCCCAGGGACTGGCCAAATAGCTCAGCAGATTAAAGCGCCTAAGCAGATGCAGGGGCTGGGGTTTGATTCCCGACCTTCTGTGCTGGACCAGCCCACAGGGCAGGCTGAGAGGGGCAACTGAGACTGGGTATGGTGGTGCACGCCTGTAATCCCAGCTCTTTGGGAGGCTGAACACAGCTGGATCACTAGGAGTTTGATCTACGTAGTGAGACCTTATAGTCCCTTACTAAAAAGTACAATAAATAAATAAATAAATAAAAAAGTCAAAACAACAACAGAAATAAATGAACAAATAAAAATCTTCCTCAAGAGGCACCCCTTTTCCTACATGTGGCCCACGTTTGTCCTTAACTTTTTTAAAAAAGAGAACAAAGAATAGTTTTTAAAAAACCCGTTAGAAATGATACAGAATTTCACCAGTGCTCCGCTGTGATGAGTGTGCCGCGCTACACTTCTCTACTGATGGACATCCAGGCTGCTTCCCAGAGTTGTGCTGTGATAAACATGGCTGTTGCGCAATGTCTTTTCTTACAGTTAACACCACCACCACCAATACTGATACTTCCATATCCTCTGTTAGACGTCACTAATGTCTTTTGCTCCTGCTAGATTTTAAATGTTGAAATCTACTTTTTTTTTTGTGGAACTGGGGATTGAACCCTTGTGCTTGCCAGGGAAGCGCTTATTCTACTGAGCCATCTCCCTGGCCCCTGAAATCCCTTTTTGATAGAGGAAGAAGGGAATTCACAATTGGGGTCTCCTCTGAGTATCTTCTGGCCACCAGGGTCTCTATATTTGAGTGGTGGAAAGGCCCACCCCTGGGCACATCGGTGGCACCTCAGGTTTTCTTGTTTGCCTTTTGTGCTTCTTTCACAGCCAGTCCTTCTCACCCAGAATCATGCAAGTCACCATGGACCTGGTGAGGAGGCGTGTGGCTCGCCCTCCCTCCAAGCCTGGGGTGTGGCACTTGCAGCCGAGCCCTGTGGTGGCCCAGACACCCGAGGCCATGTTTCCTTTGCGTCAGATTGAAAATTCAAACTATTAGAATGTTGGTGAATTTTTAGTTTTTGTTAAACTAAAAAGAGGTGGAGCTAGACCTAGGATGTCTGCTCATCCTCTCAGCACTCTGGGAGACTGAGGGAGGAGGATCATAAGTTAGAATCCAGTCTGGGAATTTAATGACTTAGTTAGGGAGATCCTGTCTCAGAATAAAAAGGGATGGGGACAGATCTCAGTGTGAATGCCCTGGGTCCAGTGTATGGAAGAAGCTAGAGTATTTTTCCTGTTCCACTCACACTAGCTCAGGCTGTCTTAGACAAACAGGTAGATTTCATCTGAAGAATGGGAGGGTAGGGGTCACAGCACTAGAAGCTGTTGGTGGTGGGAGATGAGGGCACGCAGGGCAGGCGATAGACAACAGGTTACCAGGAAGGGGCCTCTGCTGCAAAGGCTGGGTGTGCTTGTTTCAGTGAGCACTGTGTCGGCACCTCCAAAAGGCAGGGCTCAGAGTGTGGTAATTGGGTCACGAATGTACTCCCTCATGGAAGGGGTTCACGCAGGGCTCGCGGAGCTGGAGGAGATCCTATGGGAGTCTGTGGCCATACCACCCTGAACGCACCTGATCTCGTCTCATCTTGGAAGCTAAGCAGGGTCAGGCCTGGTTAGTACTTGGACGGTAGATCCTATGGGAACGGATTGTTGATGGGGAGGCATGGTGCCCGGAGCACCCTCTGCCTCCCCTATTCACCTCCCTTGCACACACTCCCACCACTGTGACACCCTCCGCCCCTGGCTCTTGCCAGAGCTAAGCAGACAGTCTTGAGCTGCAGAACTGTGAGCTACACGAACCTATTTTCTGTATCAATACTCCTTAGGTCCTTTCTTACAGCACTAGACAGGTCCTTAGGTGTCAGATTCCACCTATTGCATCACTTTCTCCTAGCAACAAGAAACTACCACTTGCCCAGGCGCCGAATGCGGGTGCCCTGCGCCTTGCGGCTGTCTGTTGCGGGAGGCTCCCCAGGAGGCTCCGGCAGCCTTGCTGAGACGCGCTCTCCCTTTTCCCTACTTCTTGAACCCACCATGAGGCGCCTGGGCTCCGTGCAGCGGAAAATGCCGTGTGTGTTTGTGACGGAGGTGAAAGATGAGCCCTCCGCCAAGAGGGCGCATCAGATCAGCCATACCTTTGGGCCCGATTAGATAGAAAACCCAACAAACAAGCTGAGAAAAGATTCAAGAATTTTCTGCGTGCCAAAGAAAACTCAAAAGAATTTCTTTGGAATGTTGAGGAGGATTTCAGACCTGTTCCCGAGTGTTGGATACCAGCCGAGGAAATAGACCGGCTGCAGGGGACTCCAGTGCCCGATGAAAATGGACACATTCCCGGTTGGGTGCCAGTAGAGAAAAGCAACAAACAGTATTGCTGGCATTCCTCTGTAGTTAGTCACGAATTTGAAATCGCCCTGGTACTCAAGCATCACCCCGATGATCCTGGACTCTTGGAAATCAGGGCAGTGCCATTAGCAGACCTCTTGGAACAAACACTGGAACTCATAGGAACAAATATTAACGGAAACCCATACGGTG